TAAAAATTTGTCTAAAATACACTTAAATATTTAATTTTAAATATTTATCTCTAATAAAATTTTAAGTTTGTAAGAAAAAAAATACTTTTTAAATTTTACCAAACACCTTCACTGATCTAAATTGAGTTCAAAAGAAGAAAGAAGAGAATAATAAACATTAACTTAAAATAAGTATTAACTTAGTTTCTCTTTCATTGTAATATATGAACTTTTTTCATGGAAAGAATATCAATTCACAAACAAGAGAGAAGAACAAGAACAGAATCCTAAAAGAAACATTATACGTCTTAATCTTAGCGTGAAAGGCATGAACAAGGAGTATGAAAAAGTTTAGGTTGGAAAATGCTCACTGTACCCAAAATGGATCCAAACTCTAGTTACCATTCTATCTTTAATTTTTAGGTAAAAATCCTTCTTAAACTCTACTTATCTCAAAATAACATTTAAACTTCTTAACTAAAAATAAAGTAAATAAGCTCTTTAACTCTACTAATGGTGCAAATAAACCCTTCTCTCAAATAGCCAAACAGCATATCTCACAGTGGACTAACTCCCTTTCTTTTTCGAATTTCCACTAATCCACATAGATACATATGTTGATGTGGCACTACTCCATGTATAAAGGGATCAAAGTGCTAATTGTATAAAAGTTAAAGGATCAGATCTGTCATTTAACCATTAAAGAAATAAGCAAAAAGGAGTTAGAAAGCCGAGACGGCTATGATGTAGCTGTTATGTAACCATCTTTTTAATTGTTTATATAAATTTAGAATTAATTACTATTAATAATTAATTTATTTATAATATTTGTAAAATAATGTTTAATTTTTATTATTGTATTACTTGAACTAATTAATACTCTCATTAACTTAAACATATTTTACTTAAATAAAAACAAATATAAAAACTTGGAGTTTGAACTATATATATATATATGAGATTAGTATACATCAACCTTAATTTTAAAAAAATTGAAATCCTAACTTATATTTAGAAATTGAAGTTTCAATTTAAAATTTAAAATGTAAATATTAATATTTAATAAAATAGTTTTTAAATTTTCAATTAAAATTTAATTAAATAAAATGAAATAATTTATTATTAAAATTTTAATTTTTTTAGGGTTGAAGTTAGTATTCATTTTTCTATGTGTATGTATAAAACAATTAGAATTTAAAAGAATTTTACTCAAATAAAACCAAGACAAAAAATCTGAAATTTGAAATAATAAAAATTATTTCAAAACTCAATCAAGTCTTTTGTCAATTTTGTGTGAGAATTTCTATTTGCTAATTAGATCAAATTAAAATAATATGTGCAAAAAAATTAGAGAAGGTTATTTTCTTTTGAGTTGCATTGGTAAAGAGCCAAAAACTTGAGTTTTCTCTCAATTCTCGATGGCCACCAACTTTTGTATCTAAGTAAAACTAAGGATTTTAAAGATGATTATGTTTATTCACTGGATTGATGAAAAACTTAGGTGAAAATCTAGTTAGTATTTTATTTATGACTCATAGTTGGACTCAATTTAAAACAATACTGATGGTATAGATCTAAATCTTAATCCATCTAGAGACTTTTATTCAAAACCTTCTCATTCTTTGATAAATAAAATGCATCCTTGGCCTTTTTTATTACTCATTCAAATTCACTCTAGGAAGATAAAAATATAAGAAATTAACAAGTACATAAAGTCTAGAATGGATTTAAGTAAAAAAACTAGGAAAGAAAATGCATGCAGCTAGCAATCATGCGGTCTCTTCCCCATGTAACTTTCTGAAATCAATGCTATTATGACGGCATGCATTTGTTCATATAGGAATCTGCTTTTATATTGTTCATCCTATGAGATGCTTCATTTGGTGGCTCAATTTGCTAAATGAAACTTAGCAACTGATAATAATAATTCCTATGCTCCATTCTTGTGTAACATTCAAGTTTAAACATTTTTACTGGAAAATAAATTATTCTTATGATAACTGTATAGGCTAATAAGACTAAATTTTGAGCACCCAATGGAATCACTGATAAATGTGAGTCAAATGTTATCCCTGGTACAAATGTTAGCTCACTAATGAGCATCATTTTTATACTCACTAATGAGCATCATTTTTATATTTTACCTCTTTTAGTACTCTTCAAGACAAGTCAAATATCATCATGTTCCAATGTTTACCCTTTATATAAAAGAATTTTTTATGTAGCATTCTTCTTTGTGGGATGATTATTTTTAGCATAATTATAAGGTTGAATGCTAATTTTAGTCTCTCAACTTTATTGAGTTGCACTTTTTTGGTTCCTAAACTATTTTTTGCACTTTTTTGATCCCTTAACTCTAAGAACTACGCCATTTTGGTCTTTTGTTAATTTAAGCCGTTAACTCCGTTTATGTGGCATTTTTTATATTGTTTTGATGACATAGATAATCCAACTAGAAAAAAATGATGACATAGATCATCCACTTAGAAAAAATGATGATATGGATAAATAAAATACCACATTATATTAATTTTTATATTTTTAATAAAAATAAAAAAAACCTCTCGACCTATCTTATTCCCCCTCTTTCTTTCTCTTTCTTCCTCCTCTTGCTGCTACCTCCTCTACTGACCGAACCTAGCAAAGCTACAATCCACTGAACCTTCTCCCCCCTCTTGCTTTCTCAAAACCAAATCAAAACCTTGAAAATTCATACTACTTCAATCTAACTTAATGATCATATACTCACAAGAGAAATAGCCAAACCAAAACATACAAACAAAATTTTGCAGCATTAATAATACTAAATTACCATCCCACAACCACAATATTTGAAACAAAAATCCATCAAACAAAAGGGTTCAATATATGCATATAAATTGCTAGAGTTACTAAACAAAAAAAATCTATAAACATGGGTTTGAAAACTTAGAAATTCGGGTTCCTTGAACCCATGTTGCTAGGTTCCACAAAACCTAGCACTGGGTTCGTTTAACGCAGATCGTTGGGTTCCACAGAATCCAGAACTGGGTTCAAACGAACCTAGTAGCCATAGGAGGAAGAAAGAAAGAGGGGGAAGAAGGTTCGGTGGGTCACAACAGGAGGAGGAAAAAAGAGAAAGCGAGAGGGGGAAGAAGAGAAAAAGGGGGGAGAAGGTTTAATGGATCCTAGCTTTGCTGGGTTCGATTAGCAGAGGAGGTAACAGCAGGAGGAGGAAGAAAGAGAAAGAAAGAGGGGGAAGATAGGTCGAGAGGTTTTTTTTATATTAAAAATATAAAGATTTATCTGATGTGGTATTTTATTTATTCATGTTATCATTTTTTCTAGTTGGATGATCCATGTCATTATTTTTTTTCAGTTGGATTATCCATGTCATCAAAAAATATAAAAAAATGCTACATGGACGAAGTTAACAGCCTAAACTGACAGGAGAATCAAAATTGTGTAGTTCTTAGAGTTCAGGGATCAAAAAAGTGCAAAAAATAGTTTAAAGACCAAAAAAGTGCAACTCAATAAAGTTGAGGGACCAAAATTAGCATTTAACTTAATTATAAACTTAACCATCTTAATTGGGTATTTAGAATGCATGGGTGAACTCTACAAAAAAATCTTGATACTTATCTTGATCCTACACCAATAAGATTTATTTTGCTTGTGGGCATTATTTTGATTCTTTATATAAGCTATGTATAATTGATTCCATATACCTAGGTTCTATATAAACGTGATAGAGGAAATTCTTAAATTTCATCTTTTTCTTTAAAGAAATATTATATTATATTATATATGTTGATTGATTTTTATTTGCTTTTACAGTAAACGCATATTATCTCAATCTTATTATATTTTCAAAAATTTGACTAGTTTCCATGACTGCTAAATTCTCCAGCACAATTCAACTTAGCCAAGTAGGTATTCCAAGTTTCAATTCTCTCAATAGTTTTTCCCCTGATCACCTACTCAATTCTTGAGAAAATCTGAGAAAATTGAGAGATTAATAGTACTTGAAATAGTTGTTTTTTAGTTGTCTTGTTAGGCTATGGTGTTAGTTTTTTTTTGGTTGTCTTGTTAGGCTATGGTGTGGGGTATCTTTTGGACTGGAAAACCAAAATGGTTTGTCTTTGTTTGATGGACAACCAAATCAAAGAGAAATACGTTTGGTGGAAAATTATTTGTTCAAAAAAGTAGCAAGATTGATGTTGGACCTTTTATAAAGAGGTCAAAAATAACTTGAGTTTTTCAATTCTCTCTGTCTATCACTTCTCTACAATTGCTTACAAGTTTTCGTAGTTACATTTTCTTGACCACATTTGTCAAGTAAATGTGCAAATTGACATGCAAAAAATATGATATATGTAAATCAATGTTGCACCTTTTATAAAGAAGCCAAAGATAACTTGAGTTTTTCAATCCTTTCTGTCCATTACGTCCCTGCAACTGCTTACAAGTTTCCTTAGTTACATTTTCTTGACCACATTTGTAAATACATGTGGAAATTGACATGCAATAAAAACGATGTATGTACATGCCAATATGTAATGCAAGAGTGGAAGAGTTTCCAATTGAATTGAGAACCAATTTTTAAATTTTGAATTGAAATCATAGTGCCATGATTAAAACTCAATTAGGTCTTTCGTCAAATTTGTTTATAATCTTTTCCTTCTTTCATATATAGAGTGCATCCTTAATTTTTTTTATTAATCATTCAAAATCGTTCTAAAAAAATAAAAATGTAAGAAATTAACAGATACATAAAGTTTAGAATGAAAATTGCAGTAAATTATTATATTACGTGTTTTACTCACCCCATTCAGAGCAAGTGATTATAAATTATATTAAATAATCTTTTGATATTAGTATTTATCTATTAATATTTGTTATATATATATACATGTATATATATT